TATAAGAGACAGGGAAGGAAGTCTTCATATATTTATGAAGACTTGATTCTTTTCTCATAACGTCCAAATGAACAGTGGTCTAACACACCCATTTAGAAAACTAGAGCATTAAACCTCTAGCATGTTGTATTCTCTTAACCTATAATTTTATAATTTAAATGCCAAATGAGTTAACGAGTTTAACCTCCTCATCAAATTCCTATTCTCTTGACAATTTGGAGTCTACCAATTGAGATGCCTGAAGCTACCTCCCTGCTGAAACAAAAGTAGAAAGTAGTTTTACTTGTGGGTACAGAACTGAGAAAGCTGATGAGAATTTCTTAGTTTCAAAACAAAAATCTTAGAAAGGTCATAGCAGCTGCTTTGAGAGTGGCTGGATTGAGAGAGGATCCAATTTTGCTGTTGCTGCAAAGACAGCAGGAGAGCCATCCCCTCTCTGTGCTGCAGACCAAGCTGGGGCATGTGAGATTATCTTGCTGCAGCTGCCACCTTAGAGGAAGATTCAGGAAGGGATTGACCAGGTACTACTGCTTTAAGAAATATACCTCACAAGGCCTGTGAGGATAGGCATTCTGAAATTAAATAAAAAAAATGATGGCCTGAAACAAGTAGGATGGCTGTGGAAGACAGAGCTATCTTTGAGTGAAAGGACTTGAATGGTCCACTTATGTATTTGGGATTTGAAACAAACCAACCTACAGTCAATCAAGCGCTGTCCCAAATGGTTACTGTTTCCAGAGGAGGAGAGCTGTACACTGCCTTGTTTGCTTCTGTAAACTTTTGCAGACAGAAGGTGGCTTATCTCAGCAGTATCACAAGGAGGGCCAAACAGACAAAGGGATGACGATGTCACCTCAGAGGCCTTGTACTAACTTTAGAGCTTGGATACCATGGATGTGTAGCGTGACACTGCACAGTAGTTTGGTTGGGCGAGACACAATAGGATAAACTTCCATATGTGAGCCGCTCTCCAACATTTATAGCCAAGCCAGAGGACAGGCGTCTGGCAGACATTAAATCCAAAGAGGGCACCAGGAGCTCAAGTATTACAGCAAGGATTAGGCAAAGCCCTACCTCTGCTAACCCCGGTGAGCCAGAGTGCCTGCCTGCTGCTGCTGCTGGTGGTTAAACACAGGCTGGACACTCACTGAGGCTGCGGGTCCTCCTTCCACCCAGACACTCACAACTCTGCTCAAAGGTCCAAGCAACCTGATCAAGCCTTGCCCCAAGCAAGGCCAACTTCAGGGGGCTGGACCAAGCCCTCCCTTCTGAATTAAATCACCTGATTCATGGGAACCTTGGACAGCAATAACCCTGTCCAAGGAATGATCCTAACCCCCAATAATCATTATTAGGATGGTTATTTCCTTGAGCTAAACATGCAAATCTCATTCTTAACAGCAGTATGGATGCTGAACTAATTCCAGCTGAACTTAAGTGTGTGAAGGAATGCATTTAGTGACTAAGGTGAACAACTACTGGGAAAAACTGTTGAAATACCAAATTCAGGCAGTGATGACTTTGTTTTCCCTCAAACTTTTACAGCAGGCTTGAGAAGCTACTAAATGGCTATGTTCCGAAGCTGCTCGTGAGTTTCCACCCTTGACTGAATTTCTCTTAGCTGTAACTGGGAAATGCTGCAGGAAGACAGACTGCAACACTGAGCAGAGATCACGTCACTCACATGTGTGCTGATGTGCTTGAATGACACATTTCCAGCTGCTTGGGGTTCAGAATTTAATCTCACCTAGCACTAAGGATTACAGCACTAACTGGGGAAACAGAAGACTTCAGCTATTCCAGTACCCCTGTGCTCCTGCACCACAAATTTAGCAGAAATGGAAAGCAGCAGAGGCAGCCTCCCAGGGAGAAGCCTTGAATTCAGCATTCCCCTCAGCACCCTTACCCTTCACCATCTTTCCCCATAACAGTAAATATTGGGCAAAACTGGGGAAGTCTTTTCACCTCCAAACAATTACGAAAGAACCAGGCACCACTGTCTCTGGCTGTTAAGTGAAACCAGCTACAGGCTACTCATTGCATTTGCTTTGACTGTTAATTTGTTATTTCCTGGACATTGCCACTACTCCCTGCACATCCTCTCTCCTTGCTTTTGCCTTACGCAAACACTAACTTGCACTGGTTCTGCTCTAACAGTAATTCCAAAGCAATTGTTTGGTTTAAATTATATTTCTAAACTACAAAAATTAAGCATTCACAGTCCCATGAAAAAGATGGCTAGAACAGTGTCACAATATCCTGAAATGGGGCATGTCCCACTTAGTTTCTATCAGTCCCTTTGGTCTGCATGTTGTTTATACAGCTGCTTACAGAAAAACCTCCACTACACAGTACAGGAAACGACTTCAGTCACTTTCTTGATATTTAAGTGTGCATGTGCTTTTAACAGGTCTGCTACCTAGCTGTGTGGTAACTCCACCTGGCTCTGTTTGGGAGCCATCAGCACATCTACAAATGTAAGATCATGGGCTGAAAGACTGATATCAAATGTCACATTCAAGAAATTTTTCGAGATGAAGTTTGAATCAAACAGGTACTCTGTGAAAGAAAAAGTAATACCTTGGTGTAATGTACTGATGAAAATCTGGAGTACTATAACTGAATTCATGTATTAACAGTCACTCTATGCCTTTACCTTTGACAAACGCATTCTCTCCCCTTCCCGGGCACCTCCACACTAACTCACCTCAGCAACCTCCCTCTCTGAGTCAGCAATTCTCAGTCAGCATGTTGAACAGACACCCACCCTTCAGCTTGCAGGCCCTGAACCTCAGGACAGCTGTTCTCTGAGCAGCTCTCCACACTGCTCTGCTCGAGTGACTGAAGGGTGCGCTGTCAGGCCTCTGGTTGCCACTCTCCCATGGAATATGGGATTTATTACTTCAATTGTCAAAGTCTCTTATTTTCCCACCACTTGGCAATGAGGTAGACCTGCATTAGTATCTCCTGCCTAGGGCTTATTTTGAGTATTCTTTTAGTGTTTCTGAAAGTTAATGCTAAATTCTTCTGGTAGTTCTTCTCTTCCTACAACAATACTTAACACTTCAGCTGCAACTACTGAGCCTAGCTCTCCTGTTCTCAGCATGACCCCACCTGAAGAGAAAAAAAAATTTCCTGTCATAGATAAATTGAATGCTTTTCTGGGAGACAGGTTACACTACTAACTGCTAGATTTACAACACCTTTCCATTATGAAATTAAAAATTAAAAAACCCCTTTACATATCAGCAGCCTTTCCTATGATCCTGACAAACTGAAACTCTCCCTCTGTTCACAGTGTCCCAGTTGATGCTGTTACTCTCACCTTAACTCCTTAATGCTGTGCAGCGGCCTCTCATGCTCTTGCCTTCAAGACTCTTATAGACAGTGCAATTCCAGAAAAGGTGACAGAAATTAAAAGGGAATAGCAAGAAAACTCCTCTCACTTGACACTCCATCCAAGATGGA